GAGCGAATTTAACGAATACCCCCGCAATATAGTGGCTAAGTTCTCTTTCTTTAAAGACCGAGAGTTCATACGGACACGTGCACCCCAAAAGTTAAGCGGCACTCGTATCTGGGTCAATGAGCAGTACCCCCCAGAGATCGAAGAAAAAAGGAAGAAGTTATATCCCGTCATCCGACAAGCCAGGAAGGATCACAAAAAAGTCAAACTTGTTCGGGACACTTTATACGTAGACGGCAAAGTTTACATTCCACCACCTGATCAGGCTAATCGATTCGTGACCAATCAGGGGAAGCAGGACAGGATCAACACTGACCGACAGGCCAACAAAAGACCGCGCCAAACGTCAACTCCAGATCGCGACGGCTAGGGGCACGAGGAAGAGCAGTCTCCGCGCCGACTAAAATTACTGACATTAAATGTGTGCGGGCTGAGGCGTAAACTACAGTACCCTGAATTTTTAAACTTTATCTCGGAATATGACATCTTGTGTTTAACGGAAACAAAAACAGATAATACTGACGATATTAATATACCAGGATATTATACTTACATGAAAAATAGATTTGATGTAGCAAAGGTTAAATCTGGCGTGATAGTTTTAGCCGTCAAAGTAGATTTTGTTAAATTTTTTACTGTACATAATACACGTTGCCCATATGTTTACTGGTTTTCACTTGCCAAAAGTTTGTTTAATCTACCAAATGACATATTATTTGGAGCTGTATATATACCCCCTGAAAATACAAAATATGCATCAAAAGATTGTTTTCTAGAAATAGAGAGAGAATTGTTTAATCTCTCACATGACACTGATTACACATGTTTATTAGGTGATTTTAATGCCCGTGTGGGTAAATTGCAAGACTATGTAAATATCGATGAATTTTTAGCCGACCATAATAATTGGGATGAAGAAACAAGACAAGCTATAACACATAGTAGCATTTTATGTGACACAAATATTAAACTTAATCGTGTACCTGTAGATACTACTTGCAATAACTATGGATATAAATGTATTGAATTTTGTCAGAATAACAATTTATTTATTGCAAACGGCAGAGCCGGTGAAGATAAACTCACGTGTAGAAGTAGTTCTAAGCACAGTAGATTATGAAATATGTAGTGTTTATATGTTTAGACTCCTTAAAAATTTTAACGTCCACGATTTTTGTAACTTATATTCCGATGTCCATTGTCCAATAACATTTGAACTAGAAAGCCTAAAGGCAGAGACCCGCTCAACCGATCAACCGTGTAACCAAAACAATAAAAAGCAGTATTTATGGAATCCGGAAAAATCTGAACAATTTAAAGAAAATATTGATGTCGAGAAATTGAAAGAATTACATGCTGAAATTTTACAACTAAGAGAAAATCTTGATACTGTTCAAAATAACGATATCAATAACATCTCTAGCAAATTATGTAGTTTATTCCTATCTTCAGCGGAAATTACATTAGATGTTAAAAACAAACCAAAATTAAATAGTAGCCAAAATGTAAATAGACCATGGTACAATGCATCATGTAGGACTGCAAGAAGAAAATTTCATTTGGCTAAACGCCTTCACAACAAACATAAAACTCCGGAAAACTCAGAAAATCTTAAGATCACAAGTAAAGAGTACAAGAAAACAATGGATAGATGTATAAAAGAACATACTTTATCTATAACCTCAAAATTAGAAAATCTACAGAAAAGTAATATTAAGGAATATTGGAGAATTTTAAATAACTCGAAGACTAAATGTAAAACGGAAGTCGATATCAAATCAATGTACGATTTTTTGAAAAAAATTAATGAATCTAAAGATGATGAAGAGGATGATAATTATAATGTTAATCTCGATAATAACTCTCCTTTAAATTATCAGATCTCTGCAGAAGAAATTTTGCAAGCAGTGAACAAACTAAAAAATAATAAAGCTCCAGGATATGATCAAATCTGTAACGAATTTATAAGAACAACCATATCAAGTTTTTTGCCACTTTATGTTGATATTTTCAATGTGATTTTTGATACTGGTTATGTACCTGAAGAATGGCTCATAGGTATCGTTAAGCCAATATATAAAAACAAGGGTGACCCAACTCTTCCTCAAAACTATAGACCAATAACATTTCTTAGCTGTTTAGGAAAAGTTTTTACCAGCATTTTATGTGAGCGTTTGAATACTTTTGCTGATGAATTCGAACTGATTACTGAAACTCAAACTGGCTTTAGAAAGGGATATGGTACAATAGATAATATATTGATATTAGATTTTATGTGTAAATTTGTCTTGTTTAGTAAGAAAAAACTTTATTGTGCATTTATTGATTTTAAGCAAGCCTTTGATACGGTATGGCGATCTGGTTTGTGGTCAAAAGTGTTAAAAAGTGGGATAGATGGTAAATGTCTAAGATTTATCAAAAATATGTATAGTGGTATAAAATCGATGATATGTATTGACCAAAATACCTCAGAGTTTTTCATGTGTAATCTTGGGGTAAGGCAGGGGGAAAATTTATCCCCATTTCTTTTTAATTTGTATATTAATGATTTAGAAAATTATTTACTGCAGAATAATATTGATGGGATTAAGAGCTTAAGTGAGAAGATAGAAAATGAAATGCAGATTATGTTTAAATTATTTATACTTTTCTATGCTGACGACACAGTTTTACTATCTGATAACCCTGAGGACTTACAAAGAGCGTTGAATATTTTTTCTGATTATTGTGACCACTGGAAACTTCAAGTAAATACAGACAAGACTAAGATAGTAATTTTTTCTAGGGGAAGGATCCCCAAAAACATATTTTTGTACAGAGAAGCACCAATTGAAATTGTGAATGAATTTAAATACTTAGGTGTTATCATGTCCCGTAGTGGTTTTTTCAAAAGTGCCAAAACACACTTAACTAAACAAGCTTCAAAAGCAATGTATGGAGTACTTAGAAAGATAAGGTATTTTAACTTACCAGTAGATTGTCAAATAGATCTTTTTGACAAAGTTATAAGCCCGATTTTGTTGTACGGGTGTGAAGTTTGGGGCTACGAAAACATAGATATTTTAGAAAAGGTACACTTGAAATTTTTGAAATTTGTTTTGCATGTTAATTCCAGTACCCCAAATTGTATGGTGTATGGGGAAACTGGGCGATATCCTTTAATTATACGTATAAAGGTACGAATGATTACTTACTGGGCTAAACTTTTGATGTCACATGAGAGTAAGCTGACATACATAATGTATTGCTTTCTTTATAAACAATTTTCTGACGGATCATTTATGCACCCATGGTTGAAATGTATAAGGGATATCTTGAATTCCTGTGGCCTGTCTTATGTGTGGATAAATCAAAACTTCATTAGTGTTACATGGTTAAAATCTATTGTGAAAGAAACGTTATTAAATCAATTTTTACAAGACTGGCATATGAACATAGAAAATTCACCTAAATGTTTAAATTACAGGATTTTCAAAAACAATTTTGGACGAGAAATTTACTTAAGTAAGCTCCCAAAAGACTTAAGAATTGTATTAACAAAATTTAGAACTTGTAACCACAAACTCCCAGTAGAATCAGGTAGATGGACTAATACTGATAGATCTTTAAGATTATGTAATCTATGTAACAAAAATACTTTGGGGGATGAATTTCACTATATAATGGAGTGTCCATATTTTTTGTCTTTACGGGTAAAACTTCTTGATAAGAAGTATTGTCTTCATATAAATACTTATAAATTTGAGAAAATTATGTCCATCACAAATGTTGATTCACTGTTTAAACTGTCTTTATTAGCTAAAAAGATATTGGCCTGCTTTTAGTAACTATTTAATTGATACTACTCTTCCTCGCTTGACTTTGTATTTTGTATATAATTATGTAAATATGTTCATGTACCTCATATACCATTGTATGGTCTGAGTGTAAATAAACAAACAAACAAATCCTCTTATTTTGAGTGCAGCACTTGTATCTATATTGAAGTCACTATGATTATTTTATTTCTTAAGTTTTAAAAATTGGCAGAATAAACGTGTTCATATCATCCTTTTCTGTAGTTCATGTTTTACACAGAAATGACGAATCAGAAAATACGAGGAAGACTATTTTAATAAAAGTATGAATCTTATTTTGGGCTCTAGCGTGTCATTTGTTTGGATTTTAAAAAAAAATAGATGATGTCGTATAAACATTTAGTATAAGTACAATTTAAAATATGCATTTTTAGGTAGAGATAATTGTCATTATCTACAATTAATGACGGTAAAATTAGATTGTAAGAAATGAATTTAATAGCTACCCAAGTTATACCGGTATTACTTACCTTCGAACAAGAATCTCTTTGCGGTTTATAAAGAATAAACTGCTCCAACCCAGCTTAAAACAGTAACTTATAAATTCATTCCTTAAAAACAACCGTCGTTTATAATTTATAACATCCAAAATAACTAATGGTCGATTTTTGTGAAATGGGTAAAGTTTTTTTCCCCGATAACTCTATTCAGAAATATATACCAGAATTTAAATCACTGCGCGTTCTCTTTCACCGTGCTATTGGCTAAATTGTTATAAAGAAATGTTGAAGAGAAAATACTATTTTACTGGGAAATGAATGAAATGTGAAAATAACATGCAACTAGTGTTTATGATGAAAATTCCCATTAAACAGTACTGACTGAGAGTCAGACAAACATGTATACTTCTAAGGTATCCGAGGTGGGATCAGTTGCAATGTAGGAGTAAGCATCCCCTACCACCCCCGCAAAAAATAAAAATTGCAAAACATTCACTTTGAATAAGATAATGAGTACTTTTCTATCATCGTCATATTTGTTTATTATCTATCTAGATTTGGAAGTTGCATGTTAGGAATACTTTTTCTACATGATTTGAAGCAGCAATTAAAAGGTTTAGAAACCAGTCTAAGAAAGCAACATTATGAAATACCAACATAACTGAAACAAACGTCGTGAGGTGGTTCTAAAATTGACTATGTAATATCTATCTGAATGGATTTTAATTTTTTATGTGTGACATAAGTGCTGTCTCATTTTAGGGAAATAAATATAATATATATTTTTAAATATGATAACTAACCAGGATGATTTCATGTATCCGCAAATTTTGTTTCCTTATCCAAAGGCACAATTAATTGTCTTGATTAAGATTGAAGAGAAAATGGAGCCAGCCGAGATGAAATTGGGTAAAGAATAATTTTTGCTTTCTTTAAAACATTGGAAAAGTTAACAATGTCATATCTAAATTTAAAAATTGAAAAATGTAAATTAAGGAGAACACGAATTTCATTGAAATAGTGTTTTTTTTTAAATAAATATAAACACCTTTAATAGTTGTCCTGAAGATTGTAGCAGCTACCTTTGTAATGTCTTACCATCTTGACTGCTGCAATGCAGATATGTAAGTATTTAATTAAAAATTTTTCTCGTTCATTTCTTATTAAGAAAATGGCATCGTCTCAGACGGATTTTTTTTCGGAATGAATAAAAGATAATTTGGACAATTAAAAACCAAATAAATCTTTTCTTAAGAATTTTTTTTAAAAATGTCATTCGTATTTGCAACTAGGGAAGGGAAAACTTAACAGTACTGTTCGACAGTATATTCGAGAAATGGTGTAAATCAGATTTGAATGCTAAAAAAATTCCAAGGAACTTGTGGAAAATTTGAAATCAAATTTTTTTTAACAAAATCAATATCATAAAAAACGTTTGACTTGTCAGTTTTAATTACAACTATTCCCCACGATAAATTATAGTTCAGGCTTTCTGGAATCATTTACAGCTGATTTTCAATGAAACTCATAAATTCACATACCTTGTCATTAGTCAGTTGCAAAATTCCTTTTTAAAAACATTTTTGATTGTACACATAATATATTGTGTACATAAAATACATTGTACTCTGAAGTTAATATTAAAAAAGATTCTAAATTTTTTTAATGACAATATCAGTTGTATTATAAGCTTTTTTTAAAAAAAAACATTATTCTTTTTTTTTTTTGGGGGGGGGGATTCTTTCCACTTATCAACACAATTATGAAATAATTTGTATATCTTAGTGATTTCAATTAACAGTATTTGCCTTGGTATATATTCATTTTTTCTAAACACCTAAACGATATTGATGAATACGCGGGTTGTCCCGTAAAATGGTGGACAAAGCGTTTTTCTCAAAGAATCACTTAGCTGAAATTTTCAGAAAATTTTTATTTATCATATTCGAGTGCACCTTTGTCTTTTTGATAAAATAGAGACAAATAAAGAGGGTACACATTGATAAGATTGGGGTAAACATTATCCTATTTTTAATCAACTATCTATTGTGTTGTCTTTTGACAAATTTCTAGGCATTTGCCCGAGGATTCTTAATCGGTATGTGGTAATCATAACATACAAAAAATAGCGACGTTTGATGACGTTACGGCGTACCGGAGAACAGTTCATTTATAGAAATATCACTCTAACATACTTTAAATAGATACAGAAGAAAAAATATAAAAAATTGTGAAGATGTTAAGTACACAAGTGAAATTGGAGTTTTCTGAGTATAATCTTTTTTATCGAATCCCCAGGTAGAACAAAACATACTGACAAAAAGCTATGGTAATAGCGAAAAATGCCTTCACCGTTGACCATAGATACAAGATTGCCTAATAAGTTGACTGATAGTGAGAATACTGCCCATACCTTCCAAATGAATCTTTAGAAAATCCCATGATTGTGAGATATTGGTTCCTCGACTATTTTTGGAGGAAGAAAAGGAAATTTGAGTATGTGCATTCATGAAATTAATAATTCCTTATGAACCATTTTAAGCAAAAAGAAAACGTGGCGCTGATTTAGACACTTTGACGTTTTCGTCCCTGCGCCGTAAGCCGATACAATATATAACGTAAAATCTCATAAATTATTTATTTATGTATGTATATCTTTAAAAGTTGCTATGTATATTAAAGAAAGATGTACTAAAGAATATTGAGAATTTTAGAACACAGTGATTATTAGTTTTCACACTAGACAATTTGTCGTTGATTTTACGGGACAACCCTCGTACATTAATTTCATTGAGAAAACTCTGATCCTAGCAACCCGTGCATTAAGTTATAAGATGTCTAAATGCATAAGAATTCCTTGAATTGCATTTCAATTGCTCACAAAATAAAATATGTGACATATTTTTAAAGACAACCAAAAAAGGATACGGTCAAACCTTTTATTCCTAATAAGGATATATATGCCAAAGAATAGCTAATTGCATGGATATAGTGCTCTTTATATAATTATCATTTATTAAAACTTGATTATCTAGTTTTAGACTGTGAATATAGTATTACATGTAACTAATCAAATAATATGAAACTAACGTTTATAACTACTGTACATATTATCTTCTGGATTTCAGAAATTGTATCCAGAGGGCCACACATTTTTACAGAGAAATAACAAATAACACAGGTTGTGTATCCAACTCTTCAAGTAAGTTTTCTTTGTCATGAATGACAGAATTTCAATTTCAGTTATACAGCTGTATAATTTTAGGCACATAATCTTGATTAACAAAAGCCTTTTTAAAACAAGGACTTATTTGTGGAAACATTTTCTTTTACGTTTGCTTGTTTCAGTTGACCTTTTCATGAGAAACCTAGAGAAAAATTGTTCTGGAATTTGTTCAAAAACAAAATACGTAAATTCAGATGGGTATGTTAAAATAATTCTAAAATATAGTGCCGAAGATATTGTACGGTTAGCAGAAAAGAAGAATACTGAATGTGGATACAATAGTACAAATATCGTTCTACAGTGTAACATTAATCTTCAGACACAAAGTGAGTGTACCATGCATTGAGAAACTTGTAAAAAAAAAATGTGTTTTTCATTGAACAATTTCATAATATGGAGATTAAATTGTTTATTTGCATTATCTATAATTTCAGAGTCTCTTCAAAGCTGCATTACAAGCAAATGTATTTATGGAAATCATTCCGATGAACGAAAAGGTTAAAGACAATTATTGAAGGCTTAAAGTTCTGAATAAATAACATGTTTTTTTTTTATTTTGTCACAAACTGAAGAATCAAGAAATGAAATCTTCCATTTTTAAGAAACAGTCCAATGGTCTGCATGTGGCGTCAACGCTAGCCCTCTTATCATAAGTGTAGCCATATTCGTTGGACTTATTATCGGTTCTATTCTAACAATGTGTTTGAAAGATAAAAATAATTGGTAAGGTATTGAAATTATAATTTGCATGTATAGTTGTACTATTTCAAGAAAAAAGAATTTATTACGATACTTCCTGTATTTTTTTCTGAAAAATTATATATTTTAGAAAAATCCTTAATTTTTAAATAATGATTAAAACCAAAATAAGAATATTTTTCATAAACTACCGGTACATTATTATTTTGAATAGAATGATTAAATTAAATGATTATAGTAGAAGATGGAGTCCGATATTTCAATCACTGACAGAAGACGAGGGAAAAAATTGTAACAACAGTGGAGTACCTGAAGCTTTAGTCAAGGTAAGGATGAATCCAAATTGAAAGCAGTCTATATAGTTAGATAAACACTTTGACTTGTTTATTTAGACTGTCTTAAATTTGGATAGATCCATTCCACATATGAATTGTTATCCTGGTCACGGCACCAATTTCTTAATCATAAAGTGGTTAAATACTTTGTGTCAGATGGCGCGAATACACATCGGTTTTTCTAGACTGCCTTCAGTTACAAAGCAATGCTACTTTTAAATAAGCAGTCTAGATAAACAAATCAACGTGTATAGATGTGTTTCACACTATCTGAGTGGAAGGTTTTTTTTTTCTTTTTCCTGAATTTTACTAACCACTATACAATCTCGAAAAATCAAGATTTACAACTGTTATTTATTTTATTGCAAGATATTTTTGTACCATTAATTAACGTCGGTGTTACGGTAATGAATATTACCTGTACAAGTAAAACTTGTAGAATATATTACGCAAAGAGAAATTTAGTTTTCAGGGTTATATTTTATTTTACAAATATAAAATTCATGACGAAAAAACTCAGTTAATATCCGTTTGTATCATACATTATCAAATATGAAAGTTTCTCCTGTGAAACCAAAATTAACTTTACTTTATTTTCATTATTACACATGTACTCCTCTGAAGAAAAGCGCTTTACAAATGAAACATTTCTATTCAAAAACAATTTTGGACGAGAAATTTACTTAAGTAAGCTCCCAAAAGACTTAAGAATTGTATTAACAAAATTTAGAACTTGTAACCACAAACTCCCAGTAGAATCAGGTAGATGGACTAATACTGATAGATCTTTAAGATTATGTAATCTATGTAACAAAAATACTTTGGGGGATGAATTTCACTATATAATGGAGTGTCCATATTTTTTGTCTTTACGGGTAAAACTTCTTGATAAGAAGTATTGTCTTCATATAAATACTTATAAATTTGAGAAAATTATGTCCATCACAAATGTTGATTCACTGTTTAAACTGTCTTTATTAGCTAAAAAGATATTGGCCTGCTTTTAGTAACTATTTAATTGATACTACTCTTCCTCGCTTGACTTTGTATTTTGTATATAATTATGTAAATATGTTCATGTACCTCATATACCATTGTATGGTCTGAGTGTAAATAAACAAACAAACAAATCCTCTTATTTTGAGTGCAGCACTTGTATCTATATTGAAGTCACTATGATTATTTTATTTCTTAAGTTTTAAAAATTGGCAGAATAAACGTGTTCATATCATCCTTTTCTGTAGTTCATGTTTTACACAGAAATGACGAATCAGAAAATACGAGGAAGACTATTTTAATAAAAGTATGAATCTTATTTTGGGCTCTAGCGTGTCATTTGTTTGGATTTTAAAAAAAAATAGATGATGTCGTATAAACATTTAGAATAAGTACAATTTAAAATATGCATTTTTAGGTAGAGATAATTGTCATTATCTACAATTAATGACGGTAAAATTAGATTGTAAGAAATGAATTTAATAGCTACCCAAGTTATACCGGTATTACTTACCTTCGAACAAGAATCTCTTTGCGGTTTATAAAGAATAAACTGCTCCAACCCAGCTTAAAACAGTAACTTATAAATTCATTCCTTAAAAACAACCGTCGTTTATAATTTATAACATCCAAAATAACTAATGGTCGATTTTTGTGAAATGGGTAAAGTTTTTTTCCCCGATAACTCTATTCAGAAATATATACCAGAATTTAAATCACTGCGCGTTCTCTTTCACCGTGCTATTGGCTAAATTGTTATAAAGAAATGTTGAAGAGAAAATACTATTTTACTGGGAAATGAATGAAATGTGAAAATAACATGCAACTAGTGTTTATGATGAAAATTCCCATTAAACAGTACTGACTGAGAGTCAGACAAACATGTATACTTCTAAGGTATCCGAGGTGGGATCAGTTGCAATGTAGGAGTAAGCATCCCCTACCACCCCCGCAAAAAATAAAAATTGCAAAACATTCACTTTGAATAAGATAATGAGTACTTTTCTATCATCGTCATATTTGTTTATTATCTATCTAGATTTGGAAGTTGCATGTTAGGAATACTTTTTCTACATGATTTGAAGCAGCAATTAAAAGGTTTAGAAACCAGTCTAAGAAAGCAACATTATGAAATACCAACATAACTGAAACAAACGTCGTGAGGTGGTTCTAAAATTGACTATGTAATATCTATCTGAATGGATTTTAATTTTTTATGTGTGACATAATTGCTGTCTCATTTTAGGGAAATAAATATAATATATATTTTTAAATATGATAACTAACCAGGATGATTTCATGTATCCGCAAATTTTGTTTCCTTATCCAAAGGCACAATTAATTGTCTTGATTAAGATTGAAGAGAAAATGGAGCCAGCCGAGATGAAATTGGGTAAAGAATAATTTTTGCTTTCTTTAAAACATTGGAAAAGTTAACAATGTCATATCTAAATTTAAAAATTGAAAAATGTAAATTAAGGAGAACACGAATTTCATTGAAATAGTGTTTTTTTTTTAAATAAATATAAACACCTTTAATAGTTGTCCTGAAGATTGTAGCAGCTACCTTTGTAATGTCTTACCATCTTGACTGCTGCAATGCAGATATGTAAGTATTTAATTAAAAATTTTTCTCGTTCATTTCTTATTAAGAAAATGGCATCGTCTCAGACGGATTTTTTTTCGGAATGAATAAAAGATAATTTGGACAATTAAAAACCAAATAAATCTTTTCTTAAGAATTTTTTTTAAAAATGTCATTCGTATTTGCAACTAGGGAAGGGAAAACTTAACAGTACTGTTCGACAGTATATTCGAGAAATGGTGTAAATCAGATTTGAATGCTAAAAAAATTCCAAGGAACTTGTGGAAAATTTGAAATCAAATTTTTTTTAACAAAATCAATATCATAAAAAACGTTTGACTTGTCAGTTTTAATTACAACTATTCCCCACGATAAATTATAGTTCAGGCTTTCTGGAATCATTTACAGCTGATTTTCAATGAAACTCATAAATTCACATACCTTGTCATTAGTCAGTTGCAAAATTCCTTTTTAAAAACATTTTTGATTGTACACATAATATATTGTGTACATAAAATACATTGTACTCTGAAGTTAATATTAAAAAAGATTCTAAATTTTTTTAATGACAATATCAGTTGTATTATAAGCTTTTTTTTAAAAAAAACATTATTCTTTTTTTTTTTTGGGGGGGGGGGGATTCTTTCCACTTATCAACACAATTATGAAATAATTTGTATATCTTAGTGATTTCAATTAACAGTATTTGCCTTGGTATATATTCATTTTTTCTAAACACCTAAACGATATTGATGAATACGCGGGTTGTCCCGTAAAATGGTGGACAAAGCGTTTTTCTCAAAGAATCACTTAGCTGAAATTTTCAGAAAATTTTTATTTATCATATTCGAGTGCACCTTTGTCTTTTTGATAAAATAGAGACAAATAAAGAGGGTACACATTGATAAGATTGGGGTAAACATTATCCTATTTTTAATCAACTATCTATTGTGTTGTCTTTTGACAAATTTCTAGGCATTTGCCCGAGGATTCTTAATCGGTATGTGGTAATCATAACATACAAAAAATAGCGACGTTTGATGACGTTACGGCGTACCGGAGAACAGTTCATTTATAGAAATATCACTCTAACATACTTTAAATAGATACAGAAGAAAAAATATAAAAAATTGTGAAGATGTTAAGTACACAAGTGAAATTGGAGTTTTCTGAGTATAATCTTTTTTATCGAATCCCCAGGTAGAACAAAACATACTGACAAAAAGCTATGGTAATAGCGAAAAATGCCTTCACCGTTGACCATAGATACAAGATTGCCTAATAAGTTGACTGATAGTGAGAATACTGCCCATACCTTCCAAATGAATCTTTAGAAAATCCCATGATTGTGAGATATTGGTTCCTCGACTATTTTTGGAGGAAGAAAAGGAAATTTGAGTATGTGCATTCATGAAATTAATAATTCCTTATGAACCATTTTAAGCAAAAAGAAAACGTGGCGCTGATTTAGACACTTTGACGTTTTCGTCCCTGCGCCGTAAGCCGATACAATATATAACGTAAAATCTCATAAATTATTTATTTATGTATGTATATCTTTAAAAGTTGCTATGTATATTAAAGAAAGATGTACTAAAGAATATTGAGAATTTTAGAACACAGTGATTATTAGTTTTCACACTAGACAATTTGTCGTTGATTTTACGGGACAACCCTCGTACATTAATTTCATTGAGAAAACTCTGATCCTAGCAACCCGTGCATTAAGTTATAAGATGTCTAAATGCATAAGAATTCCTTGAATTGCATTTCAATTGCTCACAAAATAAAATATGTGACATATTTTTAAAGACAACCAAAAAAGGATACGGTCAAACCTTTTATTCCTAATAAGGATATATATGCCAAAGAATAGCTAATTGCATGGATATAGTGCTCTTTATATAATTATCATTTATTAAAACTTGATTATCTAGTTTTAGACTGTGAATATAGTATTACATGTAACTAATCAAATAATATGAAACTAACGTTTATAACTACTGTACATATTATCTTCTGGATTTCAGAAATTGTATCCAGAGGGCCACACATTTTTACAGAGAAATAACAAATAACACAGGTTGTGTATCCAACTCTTCAAGTAAGTTTTCTTTGTCATGAATGACAGAATTTCAATTTCAGTTATACAGCTGTATAATCTTAGGCACATAATCTTGATTAACAAAAGCCTTTTTAAAACAAGGACTTATTTGTGGAAACATTTTCT